CAAGACCCCTCAGTCTAAAGTCACTCACAGGTAAACACGATGCAGAATTGCTGCATCTTTTACTGGACATCTATCTTGGGTGGCTTTGAGAAATTTTTTTAAATGACCAATTGGAACTCCGGCTCTCTAATCCAGTTCTTTCATGTAGTGTTTACAGTAAACTGGGATTTTAGTAAGAAATTGGTTATTTTGCATTATAATTTCCTTGGAGCTCATAAATTTGGTAGGGAGTGGCTGCATTCTGTGTTGCCTGAGAAAGTTCATTCAGGTCCAGAGTCCTAGTTCGCTGTCTTTTTTTTTTTTGTACCGGGGATCGAACTAGGGACCTTGTGCTTCTGAAACCACTGAGCTAAATCCCCGGCCCTATTCTTATTTAATTTCTCTAGCTCCCTTACTCATAAACTAACTAAATAAACTATTTTCTACATTACATTTCTATTGGATGGGGCTGTCACCAGATGGAGTCTGAGAAGGCCCCCTAAGGAGCAGATCTAGGGGTTCAATTTGATATAGTGAGAATGGATGCTACTCCCAAACCTGCTAGATATCCGAAGCATTAGTTCGTGTTCTCTAAAATCAAAGAATGAATTCTAGGAACAATGAAGGTTAAGAGTAGGAAAAATTTTTTGAGAGAAAGAAAGCTTCTGTCTAAGAGAGACAGAAGAGGGACTGGAAAGTGGGTTACCCGCTCACCCTGCTTCTCAAAGGTGTTTAATGGGAGAAAGCCACTACGTGAGGCAGGTTCAAGGTGGGACAAAACTACAGTCAACTAGTAAGATTGCAAGTACAGTCACTTAGGTAATATTGATTAAATGGGGATCTAATGGGGAAGCAAGTTACATAGCAAGCATACAAGGAATGAGCAAGGATTTTCAGTGGTAAGGGGTGGGTCAGGGATCTTTCTTGGAAGATTTTGGTCCCCCACCCAGGTGATTGATGCCTATTTAGAATATCAATCACTGCTATTCATCCTTAGGGGAAGCACTTGGGTGTGGTAGTTTCTCTTCTTTTACAATGATGGCCTTCAGTGAATGTTTCTTGATTGTCCTCCATGTTGGCTCCTAGACTGTCCTCCATGTTGGTTCCTCGCAGGCCCTGTCTAACTCCCTCCAAGATATCTAATTAACTTACCTATCTACAATAAATTTACCTTACTCATGGGGTACAGTGTAGATTGGCTGACTGGCATCACATAAAAAGAGTTTTCAGGATGTATCAGTGTTGAGGCATAAAAAGATTTATGAGGCAGAAAGAAGTACATACTCAGAGGGGTGCAGAGTGCTCAAGTGTGAAAGGCTTTATGGTCTGGGTTATGGGGAGTGTTGTGATCTTGGGGTGTCCTCAGGGTGGAGATCTGGAATGTGTATTCCTACTGTCAGGTCACTCACTGGGTGTGATATCAGGTAGCTCCTTTAGATGTAGCTTGCCATATAAACTTTAACAGGTTTTGGGTGCCCATATCCCCTTCTGGAGTTGATTTCCACGTTCTTCTCATCACAAAGAATTGAATGAAACAAGCAAAAAAAAATGGTGACAAAGTTTATTTGAAAAAATATAAGTGAAGGGTGAGGGAGGGTGAGTTCTCTCTGGCTCTGGGTGGAGTAAAAGAAAAGGTAGACCTGGAGGACACAGGGTAGACACCATGAGGGAAGGCACAGTAGCAAGGTCTTCATGGGGTCTGTATCCTCTTCCGCCTTCCACGTCTGGTGAGAATCCATGAGAACTACATACGGGACCTGAGAGGGATACTGGGTAGATCCTAGGTTCCCCTCACCCCTCTCTTCCTAGCCAGTCTAAACTGTGCCCTACCTCCTGTCTCAGGTAGGCTAGGTTAGAATGCAAACACTTGCATGTATTTGACTTTTAAGAATAGGGCTAGGGGCCAGGGGCCGGGGATTTAGCTCAGTGGTTTCGCTGCCTGATATGTAAGCTCAAAGACCCAAGTTCGATCCCTGGTACCAAAAAAGCATAGGGGCAGTGTGTAGGTAAAAAGCTCATTTTACAGACTCATTGTATCTTTTTTTTTTGGAGTGAATTTCCTGAAAAGGAAAAAAGCATTGTAACCTTTGGCAATTTTGTGTCCTGAAGCTGCAGTTCTTTCTTTTTTTTTCTTTTTTTTTTTTTTTGAGACAGAGTCTAGCTATGTAGTTCAGACTGGCCCTTGAACTCACTTTGTAGCCCAGACTGGCCTGGCAGCAATCCTCCTGCCTCAGCCTCCAGAATGCTGGGACTGCAGGCATACACCACCACACCTGGAATGAAGCTGCAGTTCTAATTGTTCTTAAAAGTACAATTTTAAAGTTACAATTTTCCTAGTGTCCTTTTTACCTATCTTTATTTCTTCTCTATCTCAGTTCTGGTTTAGAATTTAATATTTATTAGCTTCTTTGCTCTACACAATTGCTACACTTCTTGTTTTGTTTGTATTTATAAGGTTATAAGTCTAGAATAGAGTGAACAGTAGTATTTCTTTGGGCAGGGGTTGTTTTGGCTTTGGTGTTGGTTTTTTGAGACAGGGACTCTCTCTGTAATTCAGGCTGGTCTGGAACTCACTGTATACCCAGGCTGGCCGCAAACTTCTGGCAATCCTCCTACCTCAGCATCCCGAGTGCTGGGATTATAGGTGTGCACCACCACACACATCAGTATTTCTACACAGCCTGGTTCTATGGCTGGCTTTCTGCAAACCATCACAAACTCTAGGCAAATTCTGGAACCTGTGGCTCCCATGGGGAGAGGGGAGGGAGTGGAAGTGGAGGAAGGGAAAGGAAGAAGAAAGGTCACCTATTTCAGAGGTGACAGGATCCTTGCAAGAAGAAGAGGAGGCCTCCTTCGAAGATGCATGCTGGAGAAGCCCTCCTTTTCAAATCAACCCTTTACAAGTGGCCTGTTGGCTCCACTTCTTGGAGCAGAGAGAGGCCCCACTATTCATTGTCTTAGGAAGAAATGCACATTCATAAGCTATGAGCTCATTCTGTATCTTAGGGTAAAATGTATTCTTTCCATCTCTGCTCTGCCTTCCTCGCTGTGCCAGCATCTCGTGACAGGGTCACAAGATGGCCAGATGCTCTTCCTAGATCCAGCGGCCTCCCAGGAGACTTCTGATCATGTTTTAGTAGGTCAGAGCCTGCCCTTAACCACTGAGAAGGAAAATGAAATTGCCACAATTGGTTCCATACAGTATGGCAGGCATTGCCAATCTATCTGATCAGCAGTCTACTTTGAGTTTGGAATTGCATCTTAATTCAGAAGTAAAATCCAAAGTCAAAGTAGACTGCCAATTGGGTAGATTGGCGATGCCTGCCACACCATATTGATGAGGTTTTTATAGCTTTACCCAAACCCATTTTAATGGTGAGGGCTTGGTTGGGATCATCGAAACTTCCAGATTGTCTGACCCAACCAGTTCAAAACTTTTAAAACATTATTTGTAGTTATTTCTCCTTGGCCAGTGCTTTTTCAAACCACAAAAAAGAAGATAGAAAGTAGTAAAAATTCATGAAGAGTTGTATAGCAATCAAAGGGAAACATTGTTCTTCCTAAGAGGCAGAATCTTATGGAACTCTCTTGGATCTTTTCTGTATGTGATTGCTGAAGTGTTGACAGCTTCTCAGTTGAGGAATAGGGTCATGTCTGTTAAGCTAATTGTAGCTGTTCACTCCACTATATAATTTTACAACACTTTAAAGCAGACTGACACATCCCAGATTTCTGCAGTTTATTTTACACCAAGAAATTGCATTTAGAGATTTCCAGACACATGGTATAAATGAAAATTCAACAGGAAGCTTCTTTCACTTCCTCTAGATCTGACCTATATTTCAGAAATACACGAGTGGGCCATAACCGGGAACATGTCTGACTGCTGTTACTCATGCCCTGTTTTTTGAAGATTTTTTTCTCCTCTGTGACTCTAATGGCCATTGAGGCTACAATAGATATTTGGAGACTTTATACAAATTTAAGTTAAATAGCAAATGTTATCAGTGAAAAGCCAAATTGTGCAGCTCTTGGCTGCCGGTTTCCATCAGATTAAGCAGAAAAATCAGAC